GGGAGAAGCAGGCTTCCCGCGGAGCAGGGAGCCCGATGCGGGGCTCAATCCCAGGACCCTGGGATCATGACCTGAGCCGAAGGCAGACGCCCAATGACTGCGCCACCCAGGTGCCCCGCATTTTTAATTTACTAGAAGCCAACCAATTAAAGTGATTGTGTTTTTGCTTAATTAACTTTAATGCCAGGTACCAAGGACCCAAATAACTCTCTCAATTTCTTTACTAAAAGAGTCTTAAAGAGCCAGCATTCTAAAATAAATTAATTAATTAATAAATTAATTAATTAATTAATAACCAATGGCTGTGAGGTTTTTGTTTAACAACATCACTGAAGTTATAGTACTATAAGATAGCATAATTTATATGATTTACCAATAAGCCAATGTTTCCCACACTTTAATGAATCATGCGTCAACTTTCCCAACTTCCACCACCACAGGTAGCACCATGTATTACTATTTTTCTTTAAACAGACACACCCTTTTAAATCAATTTATTCTAAAGTGTTTTATATCATTGCTATTAACAGAAAACCAGTATCATTTGCTATGTAGAGTCTAGACATAAATGAATATTAAAATACATAATTTAAAATATTCAAAGGTTTGTGTACACCACACATTGAGAAACAATGCTTCAAAATATCAAGTTTGGGCTAATTTTATAGAAGAACAGCAGATCAACCTGGGAAGTTAAATAAAATCCTCTTTAATCCAAAAATACTTCTAAATCATTTCTTTTTACTAAATCCTATGGTCATTAAATCTTTAAAGCCTGTCGAGAAATAATATGCATAAATGTCAGAAGCATTTTGAAATTTACAATGATATTTCTCTACTCAGAGCATTTAATCTCTCTGATACATAAAAGGTGATTCTTCAAACAACAAATGGCTTAATATAGAAGGGCTACACCAGACTTTGAGTCACAAATTGGCTGATGGTCTTTCTCTGAGGACATTTGCCTCAGTTCTAAGTATGTTTTTAGCTGTGTTTTTAGGGGCTATTATTTCTCCAAAAAAGACTTATTATAAAACGCAACACATACACACATCCCATATATATCTAAAGATGAAACCTGTGCCCCTATTTTAATTATATTTATTTTCTGTGATCTGTAAAATGGAAATACTCTTGAGGATTTAATTTGGTCATCTGAGAGAGTATTCTTTAATTGTGGCATTTGATTTCCTGTTATTTGTTTATAAAAGAGAAAACAGATGCTGAGAACAGCCTTTCCCAGTCAGGTGCCACCACCAGAACACTGACATGATAGCTGTGGACTAGCATTCTGACCGTTGCTGAGTCAATTAAATTTCTTCAAAATAGAAGTTTCCAGAAAACAGATGTTATAACTTAAAAACAGTCTAGAAGCCCTAAAACTTACCAAATATGGAAGGCTTAAACCAAAAGAGAAATTTTCCTTAAAATTTTCATACAGGTAGTTCTAGCATATACAGAGTGCTAAATGGGGACGTTACAGAGATGTCCCTCTGTGTGATATGTGCTTTGGATTCTATTCCACTAAATTAACAGTCATGCATGGGCCCCTTTCCCAAGCCCCATATAACTTAAAATTATCACACTTGCAAGACAGCAATTGAGGACAAGGATGGGCAGAGGTAATAAGACAATGTTTCTTTCCCTGGTGCAGCTAACCAGTGCAGAGCACCTGCTTGGTTTGAAAGCACTGCACCCTCACTGGCTTCTCCCATCATCCCCCTGTGTCTGTCATCCGGGGTTCCTCCCAGTCAGCCAAACTCAATCTCCAAAGCCACCTGTGACTCTGGCCTCTCTCCTTCATTGTGTCTATCCTCACCCAGTCAATACCCAGACTGATTCTTTCTCTATAGCCTCTACAGCCTGAGGGGCTGAAACAGGACATCTGGGGAGAGAAAGAAAAGTATACAGGGCACCTGGGTGGCT